TGGCAATGACTGCAACGACTGCACTGACTGTCAGCTAATGTTTAAATGCGAGACAACTATGCGATGAATACAGCGCTAAAAGACCGTTGAATTCGCTTCAACTTTAAAGCACTTGAATAGCAGTGCTCTGATTGGCTCTCTGTTTAAATGCCAGTGCTATTCAGCATGCGTTGACTGCTCTATGAATAAGACATACACTTTGATGTAAACATTTCACTCCATGGAGTGAGACTGTGATGGCATAGACAGGACTCTGTGACAGTGACTGCAGTGACTGTGCGATGACTGATGCGAGCGATGATAAGGTCAAGACAGAGCCCTCAGTGGCGGTCACCTCAGAGCCCATGACCAACAGTGACTCACTGATGGCTGTGGTCTCCAATTTGGTCGATGAGAGACATGTCATGCAAATGATTGACTCGCAGACCAATATGTATGACACTAATGACATGACATGACATATGATGGTCTCATATGATTGTCTCATATGATGGATAGGTTGGCGCGCTTTGAGAAGAGCAATGAGATGTTAGTGAATGTGAACGCATTGGCGGTCATCCGCTTCGACGCCGCCAACAGAGACCTCAAGAGGTATACCCAGCAGTTGTGTGATCTCCAGAAGGACTTGGATTCCGTGTACCATAGGATCAAATTCCTTCGCCTAAAACTCGCGCAACAATACCCACAAGCCTTCAAAGGTATGGACAGAACTGCAGATATGAATGCTTTTACTAATGATTATGTGTTAACCATAGCGTGTGGTAATGTCTTCAATCCATTGGATGAAGAGGAGGAGACCACTGAAGATATGAAAGGCATTCAATTGAATGACTCGTAATGTGTTTGCAATTGAAGTAAAACTAATTGATATGAAACTGATTGTCAAACAAGTGATTAAGTGAACGACGGTTTGTATGAAATGCTAGTCATATGCAGATATAAGCCCACATCCAAGTGGTCCCGAGATATACTGATTGCTGCGATCATCACTTGACTAATATGAACATCATTTACCACTCAATGAACTGAAAGTTTTATAATTGTAGAGATTTGTCATCTGCACAAAACTTGTATTTTATAATTTGTAAACAATTAAAACATTTATTAATAAATGAATGCATTTTAAAATCTAAATTAAAATTAAGTCTAATATTAATGAATTGAGTCAATCATCAAATATTGTGCTCTATTTGTTAATTGCAATAAACCTTATAAAACAAAATTGCATCTAAAGTTATATATATTATACAATTCAATCGAAATCACGTTAAAGCTCTTAAGAGTATTTAAAAGACATTTATAATTTAGGTTTTGGTCTTATGTTTGGTAATTTTGATCTGAGCTTGTCTTTTACCATAGCTTCCAAAGGGTTGAATATAGTATTATTTACCGGTATATTAATACTGTATATAAAAGGTTATCTTAAAATACTTAATATAATTACTGGTATATTATTATAATAATTGCTTGAATTTAACACATATTAGATCTGGAGACTAGTGTTTGGTATAAATTTATATGAATACTAAATTGGTTTCAATTGAATAACTATTGGTTTGATTGTGGTTTAGTTGGACTTATTGTGGGGTTTGTCTTTGGGGGACATAAGCAGGAGTGGGAACATCCCTAACAGACACCCAATAGTAATACCAAAGGCTCGGCCCAACTGTATTGACCATCGCGTGCGAGGCATCTGTAACTGAGCTAAAGACAGATCTGGAGATTTGACACCAATCTTAGCTGCGAACTGTTCCACATAATAGGCCGATCCAATGCCCGCAATGTCTGACAATGCGTTTCCAAGACCTGCCGCTGCCATCGTTGAGATACCTTCACCACAAACCATAGATCATTAGTCTCTTAT